TCCGCCTTCCGCTCTGAGTGCTGCGCGGAGGGGTGTTCATTTGCGCTCTTTGTGGTCGGGGCGGTGTCTTGGCGTAGGCGGTTCAGAGAACGCTCTGAGGCTCGTCGTCCAAAGTAGTGTCGGTCACCCCCATTTTACAGCTGAGTAGACTGAGGCTCAGAGGCGAGTGCCCTTCTCCCTGGGCCCTCACAGGTCCAGGTGCAAGCGTGTAATTCCGGTGTGAGGCGTGCTCTCTCCTGGCTTCCTTGTCCAGCGTGCAAGGCTGGGTGTGGACGTCCGCCCCGCCCAGGGCCTGCCCAGCCCTCTCCTGGCGCCGGGCGCCGGCAGCCTTGCCTTGCCTGCGGCTTGGTTGTCGTGTGGCCGTGCACTCCTCCAGCTTAGGGACGAGATGGCCATCACCCCTCCCTCCACCCTCCCATCCCGTATCCCAGAGCCCACACTCCGCGCCCGGATGTGCACAGTGGGTCCTCACAGACCTGGCTGAGCAGCCCTGCGGGGCTCTCTCCCTCCGGCCCAGAAAGAGAAGCTGTCCGCGCAGGCGTCTCTGAAGAGGCACACTTCCCTGAACGACCTGAGCCTGACGCGGGACGAGCAGGAGATCGAGTTCCTGCGGCTGCAGGTGCTGGAGCAGCAGCATGTCATCGACGACCTCTCTCTGGTACGTCCACGCTCAGTGACGCCAGGTGCCCCGGCTGTCGGGTGTGGCATCACGGCTTCTGGGCGCTGCAGCTGCCACCCGGGAGGCGGAGCCTGGACGGACCCAGGCCCGCTGCGGGCGGGCGGCGCTGCAGGTCCCCACTCCAGAGAGCCAGGTCGCTTGGTGGGTGTGACGTGAGGCTGAACGTGCCAACAGCTGTGTTTCCTTCCAGGAGAGAGAACGGCTCTTGCGCCCCAAGAGGCATCGCGGGAAAGGCCTAAAGCTGCCCAAGGTGAGCCCGCGGTGGCGCAGCTGCCCCTGGTCTGCGGGCGGTGTCCAGGGAGAGGGGACACTCCCCTCCGGCATGTTTGACGGTTCCTGCCGTCTCTCAGTGACACGTGACTGCCAGCCATGGACACGCTTAGTGTGACTTTTCATGGGAAACTCGAGGATGAGTTTGCTGTTTAGGCCTCAGGGGCTGCTCACCCCAAATTAAAAACGTAAGGACCCTTCCGAAGGGTTTACAGGGCACTCAGGCTGGTGGTAGCATCTCACAGCCGTTCTGAGGAGGCAGGAGCTATGGGCTCTGGGATGAGGCAGAGCGGCGTTCCTTTCGGAGGGTGTGGGGGAGGGTGTGGGCTTATAGAGCGAGGGTCTGAATATTTGGGCGGAGGGAGCAGAATGGGGCTTGGAACACGGAGCAGCCAGGACCGAGCTGGCCGGAGCGAGCACATTGGAATGGGGGGTGGGGGGTGGGGGGAGAAGGAAGACTCAGTTTGCGCTTAAACCTGTAAATGTATTTTCACCTCCACGAAAACTGGGCCTGCTCGCCTCCTGGCTTCGGACTTGCTGTCTTTAAATACGTTTTTATCGACTTCAGAGAGAGGAAGAGAGGAGAGAGCGATAGAAACACTGGTGATGAGAGAGAGTCGTCGCTCAGGGCTTAGGACTTGGACACACCTTCTCTGGGGCCCAGTTCCACCCACAGCACCCACCGCACTTTGTGTAAAACCCAAGGATTGTCACCGTTGGTGCCAGTGTTTATCGCACACCCCTTCCCAGAGCATCTGAGGCGGAGCACTGCTGGGCGGGTCCTGCAGGAGGCGCTCTCCGCGTCACGGTTGCTAGGGCTGAGCCCGGGTCCCCTGGGATCATCCAGGGACCAGGCCTGTGATGGCCTGGCCGACAGGGAGCCTGGGTGTGGGAGGGGAGCCCCAGGGAATTCACCGGCGAAGCTGTGCCGTGTGACTCACCGCCCAGGCCCTGGAAACCGGCTCCTCCGCCCCATCCGCCCGGAGCTGGCCTCCTTTCCCGGCAGTGCGGGTCCTTAGGACTCGCTGGGCCGCGAGGCAGAGGAACGGGAGCGCCCCGGGGACCCAGAGGCCTGGGCACGGGCAGCGGGGCCGGGCGCGCCATGGAGTACGTGCTGTTCGTGCTGTACTTCTCCTTCTTCCTCTGCCTCTGCGCCCTGGTCTGCCTGTACTTCTCCGGCTGCCAGGAGATGACCTACCGGCATGAAGGTAGGCACCGGCATCAGGGTCCGTCCCTGCGGCTGGACGCCCCCTCCTGGGCAGGGGCCTCGGAGGAGAGGCTGAGGGAGGTGGGAGATGTAGAGGGCTGGTTACTCCGGGCTCCCTCTTCCCCCCTTGGTGCCGTGTGACCGGCTATGAGCGGGCACCTCTAGATATCAGAGTGTAACTGGGGCCCTTTTCATCTTCCAGTCATTTTCCCCCCAATGTTCAGCTCTTTTGTAAAAGGAGCCAGCAGGGCAAGAGGTGGCAGCCTGGAGGTGTGAGCCCCTGTGGGGAGAAGGTATGGGGAGCGAGCAGATAGACTCGATGCCCCTGCAGTATCTTCCCGGGGACGCCCGGGGGTGTGAGGAGGATGGAGACTGACTGTGTTTAAAGCCCGTTGTGCGAGCACTGAGGCCTGGTGTTTCTGGGGCTCCCGACGGCTCACATGGACCAGGTGAAGGTGCAGGGAAAGGCAGGGGTTGCAGTCCCCCAGAAGACAGGACCAGGGCAGGAAAAGGTCCTTTTCCAGCTGTTTCTTATGAATAGAGGCATACATTTCTGTGCTACGTTTTGGCTTCCTAGGTAAGACAGTCACTTACAAAAGCTCACCCTAGAGCAGTGGTTCTCAACCTTGGCTGCACATTAGCATCACCTGGGAATCTTTAAAATCCTGATTTCTGGGCCTCATCCTCCGGAATTCTGTTTCTTTGTTATGGGGTGGAGCCACAACATTAGTAACAAACAGAATTTCTGGAGGATGAGGCCCAGAAATCAGGATTTTAAAAAGATTCCCAGATGTGCCCACAACCCAGGTACATGCCCTTGACTGGAATTGAACCTGGGATCTTTCAGTCCGCAGGCCGATGCTCTATCCACTGAGCCAAACCGGTTAGGGCGAGACCCAAATTTTTTTAAGCTTAAACTATATAGGTAGGTACATTGTTATTAACTTAATTAGGGTACTCCTAAGGCTTAGGAAGAGCCCACTCAAGGGGCCAAAGAGCCGCATGTGGCTCGCGAGCCGCAGTTAGCCGACCACGGCCCTAGAGAACTAACCCAGGGCACGTGCTATAGGGGTGGTCACAGTCGGCTCAGCCCTGCGTGTGCCGGGTGCCGTGTGCCGTGTGCCGTGTGCCGTATTTGTGGCTCCACAGCCTTTGTTGTTAGGGACTGTGACCCGAGTGCCCTTTTGTGTTTGGTCTCCGCCCTCAGAGCCGCTTCCCCCTTCCCTCCCGGCAGCTGCTGCCTCGGGCGGGTCTGGGTCTCTGGGGCCAGGTTATACCTAAGGGGCTCCACTGGGCCTGGCAGCCTGGCTGCTCGGGGCAGCCCCGCTGGAATGCCCATCTGCAGGGTCTGCAGCTGAGGCCCTGACAGGGGCTCCGTGACTGAGCGTCTAGCCAGCAGCCCTTCAGGGTTTCAGAAATTGGATCAGCCCGGGGTGACCCGCTGCGTCATGACCCCCAGAACGGTCCAGGCCACTGACTGGGGTGGGGGGTGGGGGGTCTCAGCGTCACACCCCGTCCTGTCCTGATCGTTGGTGAGTGTGCGGCTTGACGGTTCCTGGGGCTGCACCACTGTGCCAGTCAGGGCCCTCCCTGCGTGCCCCACGCTGCCCAAGGGCACATCACAAACACAGGCCTGCCCCAGAGGCCTGGCAATTAGCTGTGTTTACAAGCAACAAGGTCGGCCGAGTGGCGCCCAGGAGAACGGGAGCTGGAGCCCAGGCGTGGGGTGGGGTGGGGGGACTGCGCGTGGGGATGAGATGCTCCCCCCCGAGGTGCTGCTGTCACCATCGGGGGCCTGGCCACGGCTCCCTGGCGACAGCCGGCTGAGCTGGTGACCCTGAACCAGGCGGGGTTTCTGTCCGGAGGGGACTGGGAAATGGCTGTCTCCACCTTGCACTCGGAGAGAAGGAACGTTGGAAATCGATGGAGCCCATTAGGCCTCACCTCCTGCCCCTTAGGCTCACCTGGGCGCACGGCCGGCGGCTGCCCGCTGACGTGGCTGCAGACTGAAGGGAGGGTGCCCGCGCGAACCTGAAGCGCTTGGTGGGCAAACACGTGAGCTCGGCCTGGAGTTCATTCACAGAGACGTGCTGTGAGTACTCGTTTCCCAGGCAGCGTTTCTTGAGTGTGCCAGGCCCCGGCACAGCGGGGAGCAGGAGAGCTCAGACCCTGCCCTCGTGGAGCCATCCCTGTCCCCCCGGGGGCGGGGGGGCGGGGGGGGGGGGCGCGGGGGGCACTCACAGCCCAGCGGGGAAGACAGGTGATAAAGCAAAAGCGATCTGTCAGGTGGCGATGAGAGGGGGAGGAGAAGGAAGGTGAGACCGCGGTGGGAAGGGGCTGGAAGGACTGTGGTGTGGTCAGGGCAGAGAGCCTGGTGGGTCCCGGAGAAGTGGTCTGGGCAGGGCACAGGCCTGTGCCAGGCACATGGGGGCTCAGGCACGCTTGGCGGTGTGGCTGGAGCACAGTGGTCAAGGAGGGTGAGGCCTGGCTGGTGTCTTCCAGTGGTTAGAGCGCCAGTCCACACACTGAGGGGTTGTGGGCGCGATTCCTGGTCAAGGGCATGTGCCTGGGTTATGGGCTCGCTCCCTCTCCTTGGTTGGGGTGCATGCAGGAGGTAACCGATGGATGTGTCTCTCTCACATCGATGTTTCTCTCTTTCCCCCTCCCCACCTCCCTCCTTTACACTCGCTCTAAAAGCAATGGAAAGGATATCCTTGGGTGAGGATTAACCCAAAGAGAGGAGGGTGAGGGGTGAGGCTGGAGCAGTTTTACTCGGCTCTGATGGGTCGCCAGGGTGCAGACAAGGGAGGGGCAGCCAGGCCAGTGGGAGGCAGTTTAGTGATTGCAGCGAGGGAGGCCGGTGGCTTGGACCAGGAGGGACTTGCCGGGGCTCAGGCGTGGCTTGGGGTTGAGGTGGAGCCCACAGGACTTCTCCAGAGGGGAGGGCGAGGAGCGTCGAGGGTGCCTAGGGGTTTGGCCTGAGCAACTAAAAGGGCGGAGCTCCGTGAGGAGCACAGGCTAGACATGGGAGCTGCAGGCTCTGGGGGTGCGTCACTGTCCACTGGCCCGTGAGCTGCTGGGGAGATGGCTGAGCTGTCAGGAGTTCCGATACCTGCCCCACATGTATTAAAAAAAACAAAAATGGGGCGCAAGGTGGAAGTGGCAGCGGGAAGACAGGTGCCAAGTGCAAGGATGTTGGGGTGCTGTGTGGTGGTCGGCTGCTTCCAGCAACACCTCTTCAGAAGCTAACTACTGATGACAAGGGGTCCCCCTCTCCTCCTCCCCCTGCTGGTGTGGGAGTTGTTCCTTAATCACACTGTCGGGCACAGGTCCAGCCCCGCTTTCATACATTTGAGAGCATAGGTTGCAGACAAGTGGGAGGTGCCTTAGCATGCAGGTGCGCCCCAACACCACCTCTGGTTGAGGATGCAGGGGCAGGGGTCTGGGAGAAGCCAGGTCTGGACACACCAGTGGGAGCTGGGGCTTGGCTCTGGAGTTAGGCACGGTTCTTTCTTCATGGTCATCAGAAGCAGCCATCTGTACTAATAAAAGGGTAATATGCTAATTAGACTGGACAGACCGGATGTCCTTCCAGACAAAGCCGCCACAGCTGAGAGGGCTGAGGGCAAGGCGGCCGCAGTGGCGGGCAGTGGCAGCAGCAGTGGGGTGATGGGGATGGCGCCTTCCCCTGATTGGCCCAGTTGCCTCCTGCAGAGGGAGCGGGCCTAAGCCGTCAGTAGGACATGCCCTGAGGGATCCTGGACTGTGAGAGCTGTGAGAGGGGGCAGGCTGGGCCAAGGGACACCCCCCACCCCGCCCAAGTGCACGAATTTTTGTGCACCGGGCCTCTAGTTGATTCTAAAATCAAATAAAAATCCTTCCCAGGGATTGTTTGGGGGAAAAGCCCATGTTTCTAAAACAAGATGATCTGGAGACTGTGTCTGATGTCTGCAGTCCCCAGGCCCCATCCAGCTAGTGTCTGACCCACAGAAGGTGCTCCGTCAGGTGCTTGCTGAATGAATGAATGAATGAGTGAGTGAGTGCATATGTGAATGAATGAATGAATGGAGTGGGAGAAGTGCTGGGTGGGGTAACCGGGAGGTCACTACACAGTGACTGGCATTAAAATCGTCTCTGACTCTGAGTGATGGGTGCATGAGGGTCCGTTCACTCTTCCTTCTAATTTTGTAAATGCTCTAAGTTTCCTATAATAAAAAGTTAAAGAAACATTGCCTCTTAGCACAGGTCTGGTGAGGCCCTGGGCCACATGCTCACCCAGGTGCTCAGGGCCCCGTCTATGCCCCTTTAGCTTTTCCCTGTGTGTGGCATCTAGAACACGGCCGCTCCCCTGGCCCACTCCACTCCTCAGTACATGTGTGCTGCTCGTTGCATGTCAGCACGTGGGCACAGCCACGTGTGACCTTACTTTGTGCTCCATGTCCCTTTAAGGGGCATAAGACCAATAACTCCTGCCTGGCCAAGAAACTATTTTACTGCCCCAGCTGGTTTGGCTCAATGGATAGAGCCCCCCCCGCCGCAACCTTCTTTCCCACCAGCCCATTGTGAGCCCCGCCCCCCCGGGGTGTCCTGCAGCCCAGAGGGTGCCGTAGCTGGGGGCCTGGCGGCCCTGAGTTTGTTCCTAACATGTCCACGTTGCCTTCGCAGAAGCATGTTGTGGAGACATTTTTTGGATTTGATGAGGAGTCTGTGGACTCGGAAACCTTGTCAGAGACGTCCTGCAACACAGACAGGACGGACAGGGCCCCGGCCACCCCTGAAGAGGACCTGGACGACGTAAGCGAGCCTTGGGCCAGACACGGGGGTCGTGGCACTTCCGGCCCCTGCTCCCCACTGAGAGCTCTCACCCCAGGGGACCTGGGATAGCACAGCCCATCGGGTCAGGGGAGGTGGTCCCCTTCCCGGGCTCTGGACGGCTGCGGGGCACTGGCAGGCGTGGGGTCCCTTCCCCTCCCCAGCACCGATTTCACAGAGCATCTGAGGTCGCCTCGGTGTGACTTACCCTTTGTGATGGAAATTACTGTGTGGTGGCCTGTCCCTCATTCTGCTACACACACACATATACCTGCACACACACACACAGAGATTCCATACATGCACACACGCGCACACATGCGCACACACTACACCACCTGGTGGGAGCAGCACGGCTGCCCCTTCCAGTACAGAGCAGGCTCCTGTAGGAGAGACTGCAAACACTGACAGGGAGGAAGGTGTAAACCCGCCAGAAGCCTCCCAGCCGAGGACCCTCCCCCTTCCTAGGGACCGGGGTCCCCAGGTGTGAAGAGGGGCTTCCTTCTCTCCCCGCCCCCAACCCCAGCCCAGGTTTCTTAGGAAAACGGAGTAAAATGCGACCATGCCAGGCACGGGCTTTTGATGTCTCTTCTCACTGACAGTAACAGGTGTCTTAGCACCGACACCCTGCTCCACACCGTCCTCTCGAGCACGCGGGACTGTGTCCTGTGGGTGCACGTGGGCATTTAACTTGACGGCCCTGTGACGGGCGTGTGCAGACAATGCGCTGACTGACGCCCTCCCTGCAGGCGCATGTTCGCACACTCGGTGTCACCTCCGTAGAGGAGATCCCGTGTGAGAAGTGCTGTGGGGCGGGCACAGGCACACAGGCCCCCGCGAGTCGGTGCTGGCTCCCGGTCACATGACTCGCAGTTCCCAGGGTCAGCCCTGGCGTCGCTCTCAGCGCCGTCCACTCCTGGCCGGGAGGTTCCCCAGGTCATCGTGGGCAGCAGCGGTGGGTGTGGGCCCTGCCCCGGGACGACACCCGGTCCTGCTGTCATTGCTTCTCTCCTCGCCTCCAGACCACCACCAGGGAGGAGGCCGACCTGCGGTTCTGCCAGCTGACCAGGGAGTACCAGGCCCTGCAGCGGGCCTACGCCCTCCTGCAGGAGCAGGTGGGGGGCACGCTGGACGCCGAGCGGGAGGCCCGGGTGAGTGCGGCTGGGCCGGGAGGGCTGGGCAGGGGCCCGCCGTGCCCTTCCTCGCGCTGTGGGTCTGTGGCCCTGTCGGGAGGCTTGGAGGGGATTCTGAGAGGTGACGGGGTGGGGGACACATCACAGACTCTCGCGGTGGCAGTGTCCCAGCGTTTGTCAAACCCCCCGGAGACCTGAGGGACTGTCAGGGTGCCTTCAGTCCCTGCTGGCCACCGGGTCCGGGCCACGCCGGCCCTCGTGCTGGGCTGAGCTCTGTTTTCCTATAACGTCCACCTACTGGCCCTTACCCGTCTTCGGGGGTCACACAGACCAGGGGCTGCTTGCCCTTCCTTCTGAGAGCGAGGGGACTGCGGAGAGCACACCCCGGGCCAGTGCACACCCGGTGTCCCCGTTCATCCCGCGAGGCAGGGTGGCGAGGGAGACTGCGGGAGGCCGCTCCTGCGCCACAGACTCCGGCCCGCAACGTGTAGGTCCGACAAGGTCAATGGCTGGGCGTGGTTTGAGCTGAGCCGTGTGGTTTTTATTAGGAATTTTATCCGGTTGCCAACACTGAGAAGTCAAGAGATTTCACATGGACCGCCAGGTGCCCGCTTCTCTCGGGGAGTCGGACCGTCTGCAGCTCCAGGCCTCCGGCTGTACGGGTAGCATGTGGCATCAGCTGAGTGGCCATTTTCCCCGAGATGGACCGTGCACGTCCAGTGTGCCGCAGTCCCCACCACTCCGTTACCCCATACTCAGTTCCCAGCCCTGGCCCTGGGCGACCTGATACGCACCAGGCAGGTGTGAGAGTGCTCAGTAGTGCTGGTGATTGCGCATGAGCAGCCGCTGAACTTGGCCGGGAGCCGGTGAGAGCCTGCCGTGTCCGGCTCTGGGCTGGCTCAGCCCCAAGAAGGCGCTGCCTCTCCTCCAGGCCTCCGTGTCCGTGTCTGTAACACCAGGGTCAGACCTGACAGCTCGCAGGTCTTAGGACGTTTACATCTGAGGGGAGAGTCTGCAGGCCCCCAGGTGGGCCGCGTCGGAGCGCGTGCTCCTGAACACTGGCCTGTTTCTAAGGCCTGCGCTGCAGCGTGACCCTTCCCGCGACTCAGCCGCCATCGAGGTGACCCGCTCACCTTCTGGCCTTTTCATTCCAGACCCGGGAGCAGCTGCAAGCCGATCTGCTGCGGTGTCAGGCCAAAATTGAGGACTTGGAGAAGCTGCTGGCCGAGAGGGGCCAGGTGAGCACAGCGGCCCTGTGATGTCCCTGGGGCCTGGGGCTGAGGGGGCCCTGCCGTTCGCTCCCGAGACATTAGGGGGAAAAGCACTAGTGGAACCCAGGCAAGAACCCCCCCGCGAGGCGGCCTGCGTGTGGGCCTTTAAAAACTCACAATTCCGAAACTCTAACTTGGCTCACTTTTTGCTTGTTTGCACAAAAATAGGACATAATTCCAAAAGCAAAGTGGTGACCAAAATCTTTTTTGACTTGCATCTGAAGAAAAGCTGCCATAGACGGCGAAGAGTTAATTGTGAAAATGAGCTGGGCTAGCCACTAGCTGTCAATCTCAGCAGAGGCCCCGCCCCCGCCCAGGTCTCCTGGCTGTGACTGTCGCATAGAATCCGGCCCTCCTGCTTCTCAGATTAGCGCCACCTCCGTGTATGCGTCCTCTGCACTTGGTCAGTCCTGGGGACAGCAGGACACGGAGAGGGGCCAAGCCAAACCTGTCCCTTGGGGTGGGGAGCACCCTAACTGCTGGGGAGAAGGGAGCCCGGAGCCACTGGAGCAGAGGAGGGAAGAGGGAGTATCTTCCTGTATTCATTCACCTGCCCTCTGTCTTCCCTGAGCACTGGCTGTGTGCCAGGCACCGTGCCGGGCGCTGGGGACACACAGTGACAGGATGGGCTAGTGCCGTGTGCTCATGGGCTGACCTGGGTGGGCTGTGGTCCGGGTGGCACGGCCAGGGGCCTAGGGTGAGCACAAGGGTGTCGCTGTCGGGACGCCGGCCCGTGGGCTGCAGCGAGCCAGCAGGAGAGGGGGTCTGCGGGCCGACCTAGTACGGTCACAGTGCGGCTGTTTCTGTCGCTGATGCAGACCCCGGACACTGTGCTTTTAGGGACATGAGCCGGGGAGCAGGGTTGTTCCGCACACCAGCCGCTCCTCTCTCTGGGGTTAAAGGTGAGGGGCCGGGAGGTCGTTCTAGCTGCTGCCCTCTTCCGGCCTTCTCAGAGAAAGCCCCTCCCCCGTGGCCTTCCTCGTGGCCACTGTGGCTGGGCCGTGCGCCGCGTCAGGGAGTGTGACATGCCCAGTGCTTTCCCGCAGGACTCCCAGTGGGTGGAGGAGAAGCAGCTGCTCATGAGAACCAACCAGGAGCTGCAGGAGAAGGTACGTGCGCCCGCGCCGCCCCGCGCCAGCCTCCCTGGCAGCACCCAGGGCCGTCCTTACGTTCATCAGAGCCCGGTTCCTGGGGGCTCCCAGCCCCTGGTCCTGGCTCTGTCCTGGGGAGGGCAGCAGGGCTGACCTGGACCTTCCCCAGGGCACCTGCTGACAAGGTCACCTGTCTGTCCGGATGGGGCTTCCCGAGCCCCTCCCAGGGGCGGGGCTACAACACTGATGGACTGGCTGTCTTGGCCCGGTTCATGGACTGGAGGCCATGGTGCTGGCAGGGCTGAGCCTGCCCTCCCTCTCCGGTCATGGAACTTTCTGGAACTCTCTCCAGGAGTTGGCTTGGGGAAATAAGTCTCATGCTTTGGGATAGACCTTAGTTTTTTTCTAACCTGTCTACAATTCAGTGAGTTGTGCAGCCATCACCACAGTGCAGGTTCAGGCCATTTCCCGCCCTCCCCCATAAAGAGCCCTCACGCCCGCTGCAGTCCCTCCCCGCCCCCATCCCCACCCCCGGCCCCGGCCGCCACCATGGACTTTCTGACCTTCCAGGTCTGCCTTACTGCACCTTCCGTGCTAGGGGACCAGACCTGGGTAGGCCGGGCTCTAGGCACCCTAGATGCCGGGCTGGACAGGCTCCGCACTGATCCCTTGTGGCCGTTCGCTGCCCTGTGTTACTTCGCACATTTGGGCGCTGTCCTGTGAGGTGGCCCTGTGCATTGGGAGGGCGGTTCTGTCCTGCTCGCTCAATTCCGGGAGCCACAGGAAGCTCCTGTACTGTTTCCACGTGTCCGCTGGGGGTGGGGCCCGCCTCCCGTCCCCCTGGCGTGAGGTCAGAGTGACCGTGACGGACAAGGTCCTCGGCTCTGTGAGCTTCTCAGTCCTGCAGCCGGAACTCGGGCGGCTGTTCTCCTTGGTGGGCAGGGGGTGGGAGCTGGAGGACAGCCAGCATGACCTTCTCCAGGGCTTGGGGCCTCCAGCAGGTGCTTCCTCTGTGGCCGCTGGACTCGCCCGGATTAGAAGGACATGGACAGGCTTGGGGGTCACTCTCCCTTCCCCACCATCGACCTCAGGGAAGGGACTTCATCGCTCTGGGCCTCCGTTTCCCCATCATCCATTTATTCAGCAAACAGATGAGGCGTCCCTTCTCTGGGCCGGGCGCGGGGCTGCGGGGCCGACCCGGGTGCTGCACCAGCCCCGCTCCTCGCCCTCCTGGTCAGGGGACACGCCTCTCGTGGCCCCGGGAGGGACAGCGTGCTGCCCGCTGAGCCGCAGCTGTTTCCGCTCTAGGTATACCGGCTGGAGGTGGAAGGGCGCCAGCTGAAGAGCGACATGCAGGACGCGCGGGACCAGAACGAGCTGCTCGAGTTCAGGGTGCTCGAACTCGAAGTAAGGGACTCTCTCTGTTGTAAGCTCGCAAACGGCGCAGACATTCTCTTTGAGCCCAAACTGAAATTCCTGTAACGCTCCCGGACGCCCCGCGCATGCGGAAAGGGGACGCGGCCCAGTGGTTTCTTTCGTTTTCTCTCCCTTTTTAAAACCTGTATGTTCAGAATGATTTCACTGCCTTAATGTTCTGGAGGGAATGCTCGCCGCAGTCCTGGGACCTGTACCAGAGCTCATCTATTTATTGCCTACGGCTTGTTTTGCACTTAATAAAATAATTTGTTTTTGCAATATTTTGCCTTTTTTATTTGTGTTTCATTTCCGTAACGACTTCTTTCCTGCATGCCGGCCGCCTGGTGCGCATTCCGCAAGCCCGGCCACCGCCCTGTTGCAGGTAGTGACACTTTTAAAGCGGCCGCGCATGCTGTGCGGGGCGCCCCGAAACGGCAGGTTCCGAGCCTCTGTAGGGTGGGTCCCGCTAGCCTGACCCGCTTTCTGTTGGCCAAGGCAAACACAGGTAAGTGAGCCGGGGAGGAGGAGGAACTCGCACAGGCAGTTCAGGGAACTCCTCACGTTGCTTCAACTCTTTCCTCCAGTGCGTACAGACCTGGGAGGACAGCTCTGGGCTAAAAAGTCACTCAACTGCAGCCGATGCCACTCCTTAGCCCAGAGCGTGACTGACATTGTACACGGTAGACATCGTGGGGTTTTTGTTTGTTTGCTTTTAAAATATATTTTTATTAATTTCAGAGAGGAAGGCAGAGGAAGAGAGAGAGAGAAACATCAATGATGAGAGAGAATCATGGATCGGCTGCCTCCTGCACGTCCCACACTGGGGATCAAGCCCACAACCCGGGCCTGTGCCCTGACCAGGAATGGAACCATGACCTCCTGGTTCACAGGTTGATGCTCAGCCACTGAGCCACGCCGGCCGGGCGAGACATCGCGTTAAACCTTCAGTTGCTCCCCACTGCACAGAGTCGGGCCTCGTGTGGCATTGCCGATGGTCTCATGGCTTCCCACGGAAACCTTCCTGTCACTAGCGCCTCGCTGCCACTCACTTCCTAATCCTTCCTGTTTGTTTCCGCTGAACACTCGTCGACATCCTCGACATCTCCTGCGTTTGTGAGGGTTCCCTGCAGGACAGGCTCCGCTGTCCCTCTGCGTGCGCGGGACCCTCAGGCCACGTTTCTGACTTTGCTTTCTTCTCCCGGCTTCCGTTTCAGTTCTGTTTGCTAGAACCTAGCGTCCGGTCCTTGGTCGCTGGCCTGGACCACGGCGGGGTCACAGGAGCCAGTGTGACTGCCCGTGGCCCTCGCTCGTGAGAGCTGGTGTTTCATTTGTGCAGCAGAAATGGGAAGTTACGAGGTTGAGGGCGTCATGAACACGTCGGTCCTGTTAGGGAACCTTTTATGAGTCTTTGTTATTCATCTTTCTCCTGAGCATTCTGCCAGCATTGCTCAGTTTACAGAATTTTCTTCAGGTGTCTCCACTGTCCTTCAGGGCCATTAGAATTTTCTAACTTCCACTCATATGAAATAGGAGCTTTCTCTTATGACCTTTTCTATGGAGATTCCATTGAAGTGGGTAGAAAGGCATCCACTGGATGGAGCAATTGCAAATTCTGTTTTTTGGCTCATCAGGCAAATCGGGTTCCTCTAAACTGTTTCAAGCCCAGGTGAGAAGGAGACTAATTGAATGAATGAACTTTCTCTCTCCTTTATCGCTGCCCACCATTTCCCTAAACTAGGCCCATTGGCTACACTCCTCACTTCAGTGGTAAGGGCGCCCATTACCCAGTAGGCCCTGCAGGTGTGTTCCGACAGCGTGTTACCTCACTGCAGCCCGAGAAAAGGGGCGGCGTGGGTTCCGGGGAGCATGTGCGAAGGCCCCTGCTGGCCGGCCTGTCCGTGGCTCCTGGAGTGAGGGCAGCACCAGAGAGGAAACCTCCGAGACCGGAGGACTGTTGGCCGCCGGGCTCTATTCCTGTGAGTGACTGGGCTGCTTCTGTCCTTTCTAAAAACAGGCCACTTCGTGGTGATGAATAAGAGCCTCTTCTGGGAAAGTGCTTTTCCCTCCTTGGTCCCTGAGATCTGACTCCAGCCAAGGCAGGGATGGGGTGACCACTGGTGTGTGCACGGGGTTAAAAAACACCTCGAAACAACCGGATGAATCACAGATTACATGAACAGTATGTGGAGCCAGGGTCCCAGCCCTGCCGCTCACTCCGTCTCCTTGTCTAAGATGAAAGCGATACGCCTGCCTTGGGGGTTGTGTGAGGATCACACGACACAATGTGCCCAGGGCACCGGGCACTGGCATACTCGGTGGCCTTTGGCACTTGCTACCAGTATGAAACATTCCATATTTGCTGATGGTGAGCCTTCCTGGCTCCCCTCTCCCGGGGTCCTCAGTTAACCATTTCTTCCCAGCCGACGAGGTCAGAGGCGACCAGGTGTCCACAGGAGGATGCGTAGTCTGAACGGGCGCTTTTTAGGAGCATCTTTGCCCACTGGAATTCGTTAGTTTGTGCCAAGTAACGTGGGGGAAATGGCAAGTGGAAACTAATTCAATAAAGTCCTGTGTTTAAACCAAATCTTCTCCCCAGGAGAGAGAGCGGAGGTCGCCCGCGTTTAACCTCCAAATCGCCAGCTTCCCCGAGAACCACAGCAGTGCCCT